CGGGGGAAGCGGGGGGTCGGTGGGAAATCGCCCTCCGGAGGCGAAAAGTTCCCCGTCCGTTCCCGGTGTTCCCGTGTCTTCGCCTCCCGTCAGGTGGGGCGCGCTTCAATACCGGCCTCCGGCACCGGGAGGACGCCCCGGTTCCTCGTCATTAATTTTCCGTCCTTCTCGCCGCGTCAAGAAACGTCCCCGGTGATGTCAGCAGAGGAATTGCCGGTGGAAACGGGATTGTCCTGCTTGCTGCCGGGAACGGGAAAACCGAGGCGGCGGCCGCCATTGAGGGCCAAAGTTTGCTCGGGAGGGGAGGCGAGAGGAGCCAGGGTCTGTCGGCCCCGCGCGGGGCTCGGGAGGTTCTTCGCCACCATCACGACGTTGAATCGTGTTTAACGGCGAAAGGATGACGCGCGTCCTTCCCCGTCGTGTCAGCTTCGTCGGGATGTAAATAATTCTATGGCAAAACCAGCCTGGAAATCGCCAGAATTCAGCATCTTCTGGTGCGTTCTCCTTGCCCCGGAGCTGCGTCCGGCCCTGATTGGCGCGGGCTCGGGAGGTTCTTCGCCACCATCACGACGTTGAATCGTGTTTAACGGCGAAAGGATGACGCGCGTCCTTCCCCGTCGTGTCAGCTTCGTCGGGATGTAAATAATTCTATGGCAAAACCAGCCTGGAAATCGCCAGAATTCAGCATCTTCTGGTGCGTTCTCCTTGCCCCGGAGCTGCGTCCGGCCCTGATTGGCGCGGTGTAATTAGACGTAATTACACGCTTCGCTTCCTCGGCGCGCGCGAGGTGGGCAGCCCCCGCCACAAGGCGGTTGGGGAGAAGGTGGAGACGTCCGGAGCGGGTTTATAACAATCACCAAAACGGTGTTCTGGCCCTCTTTTTTCCCCCCCTTGGTTAATGTGGTGCTGCTCCGCTGGCTCGCCCCTCGGTCGGGGGTTGCGCGCGGTCGGCCCTCCCTGCCCGCGCCCCCGTTTCCCTGTCGTGGCGATTGCCACCGTGCCAGTAAAACCGCGTCGTTGGTTTTTAATCTCTACCCAAAGTTTAGCTGGTTTTGGGTGCGCCTGTTGCTATCGTGCGCCGTCAGGCAGAGGCAGCGGCGTTGCTGAGGACCGGTACCAGATTCCGGACGGTTGGGTGGATTATGTGAATGTAAGGAGGAACTAAGAACGTCACAATTTGGGTTTAAAGTTGATTCTTTCATGGTTCTTTCGACTGCAGCTTGCAGGGCGATGAGATCTGCGAGTGGTGCTCGCTGTGGGTCACGTGTCGGACCGTTGCTTCTTCCCAAAACTTAGGTTTTTCTTTTCTGCGTGGTGCTGTATCTCCGAAATAAGCTCCCGCAGCTCCCGGATAGATGCTGTAGGGGTGGGTTTCCCTGCATGATGTGTAAGAGCTGCAGTTTTCTCTCACAACCTCCTGTTTAAGATAATTTGGAGCAGAATAAATTTGTCAGGAACTTCTGTTTCAAGTAAGAGCTGAGGAACGGGCTTTGAAAAATGGCCCGGCCATGGTTGAACCCAAATGACTTTAATGTCACCTTAGAAACGCCGTCAAATGCCAGGTGAAGCCCAGCAGGCTCTGAAGGCCCCCAAATTTTAAAGCACCTTTGGGGTATTTTCCCGTATATACGCATAAAAGAAGCTTTTGTCTTCCGGGCAGGAGTTTGTTGGGATTCCTTAGTCCTCCTTGCGAGGACGTGGTGCTGAGGAAGTAGAACTCAGGCCGGTTAAACCCCTCGCACGAGTGCCCCGGGGACGGGGATCCGGGACTTCTCAGCAGCACGGCACGGCCTGCTTTGGGGCGGGGATCCCGTCTGCCCTTTTGCACTAAAAACGCACGTCGGTGTGTTTTGTGGGGGTGATTTTAATGCCCAGGGAACGGCGGAGGGTGCTCTCGGCGCTCCAGTGAGAAATTTTTAAAATCCAAGTTGAAAACTTGGGTGAAAGTTCCGTTGAAAGGAAACGAACCTGTCAAGGCTGAGTCGAACGCTGCTGTTAAACACCTTTCGTGATCACCTGAGGCCGCTTCGCAAGAGTCAGCGGCCACGTTAATTACGGCATTATCTCTGGGTCTCGTCTCTCTGCTGCCTTGTCCCTAAACGCCGCTTTTTAGACCCGGGGGGAGAGTACAGGCTGCAGCTCGGGATTCATTTTCTCTCTCCCCCGTTTTTCCCCTCATCAGGCAAGGACAATAGGCTGCACTGGGCCGCCTCCTCAGCTGCCTTTGTTCTCAGGCTGTTTGTCTTGGGCTGGGTATTATCAAACATCTCCGTAGCCGGGTGGGTTTTATGCTGCTTGTGGCCGTGTGGCGAAGGAAAGCGGCCCATCGGCGTCAGCTTTGCGATTTTGGTGAAAGGCTCGCGCTCGGACACTGCCGGGCGGTTCGGCCGTAGCTGTGAGCGTCAGGGGCTGGGAGGGAGCCGAGCACCTGTGTTTGTGCCATTCCCAATAGCTGGAGGTCCGACCAGCGTGCCAGAGGGAAGGCCAGTTCGCATTTCTGTAGCACCTGTATCGAACCCGAGCTATAAAGGCGATTTAAATATCATTTCTGACTTAGGAGAGGGGGCGCAGGAAGCAAAAGAAGCTTGCTTTGAGGCGTACGCTGCAGCTAGATCCTTCTTTCCGCTGACTTCCAGTGGAAGTTGGGCACCAAACCTTTCAGATCGGCGGCGGCCAGGTGAAATGCCGCCTGCCCTCCGTGGGAGACCTCAGCTCCCGCTTTTATCCGGCGCTCACCGCGCTGCAAATGTGTTTCCCACTCGGCAAAAGAAGTAATTCTCTGTTTTGATTAGACATTAGGACGGATTCTGTGCTAATGGGGTAATTAACGTTGTCTCTTCCTGGTGAGAAGGGGGAAAACAAAGCAGCAAACGCTGGAAGAGCTTCAAAAAGGCAAAACTGGTGTGGTAAAACGTGTACTAAAATGGTGCTAAACACGATCTGCTTTTCATTGGATCAGGCGGCTGCTCTGTGAGCTGGGCGAGTCAGTGAGTGGTACTGTGGTGTTCCTGCTCCTCAGGAGCCGTGTGCTCTCAAAAAACCCCACCGGGGATGGGTTTTCTACCTTTTGGGTGGATTCTGTGACTGGGTTTTACAGAATCGCACTAACTCAACTTCTTATCCCATGTGTAAAATACGCCTTTGGTAGAACGGAAGGCGCTTACAGTTCCTACAAGCGACACAGAATTTTGAATTTCAAGGCCTGTGTGTTTGTACGACAGTTTGCTCCTCGTGGTGACCGAGCGTGGCCCTTACGTTAAATGTATCACCAGAACTCGCACGTTTCTTTCTCAATCTTAGGCGCTCACCTGCTGTTACCGAAGCGCGATCCAGTTCTCCGCCAGCCTCGGCGCCTTCCGCGGCCGTCCCCGTTGGCGTTCACTCATTCTTTCTCCTTCCATTTCAGAAAACACGCCTTGAACTGCCACAGGATGAAGCCAGCTCTTTTCAGCGTGCTCTGTGAGATCAAGGAGAAAACAGGTGCGTTGGTGGCTTTTCTGGCCTCAGCTTTCCAAAAAACCCCCCATTCAGTCATCAGCTCGGCTCTCATTTCATGCCGCTCGTGTTTTCCCCGATAGATTCTACAACTTCGGGCTATTTTTGTTGGCTTAATAGTCTCCTGTGAGCTGGAAGTGGTGTTGATGTGCCTTTTATAATGCTGCCTGTGTGCAGGCTTGGAGAAAACAATGCTGCTTCTTTGGAGAAGTGTTTTGGCTGTGTGTACCTAAAGAATCTGTAGGTTGGGGGGGTTTTGATGTCGCTGGTGACCTGGAGAATCCTGACTCGTCCTGTATGTCGTTACGCTCTTTTCTTCCCGTAAGGAATCGGTACCAAAATGGTGGTGGTAGCGCGAGTCCAAAGCTGACAAATGAGTGTATTACGGAGAAAATGAGACAGCGAGGCAGAACGCTTGGGGATGCTGGAAAACGCAGGAGTAGCAGGAAATGGCGTTGCCGATCGCGCGGCTTCCTCTGAGGAGCACGAGCACGGGGGGCAAATGGATGTGGGGCTTGAGTTACCTGGTATATGCTCATACATCGACACTTGAGCAGTCTTGTTGCAGTATCTAATTTCTATAAGCTACAGTGAATTCTGATGGGTTTTAGAGAACAACTACTTTCATTCTATGTAACTAAGATGGTGGTGGTCTTTTTTTTTTTTAACTTAGATCTGCATTAACACGTAACATCCTAAACCTTCCGTTGTATTGGTTTTTTCTAAAACACCGAAACTCGTGGCGCCCCTCGTTGTGCTGCCAAACAAGGGACCCCACGGTTCCGGCCTCTGCGGTGCCCTTGTCATCGAAGGCGGCTCCGAGGCAGACGTGACACGTTCCTTTCTGGAGAGTCTGGGTGCATCTATCGCGTTCTCACCGTAGCAGTTCGCTTCTGCTGAAAAGACGTGGTGGCAGTAAGCGCGGGTGTGCTGCCGGGGCGTGCTGTCATGTCCGCCTGCCCTTCCAGGAGCGCTGTCCTTAAAGAGGGTCTTTCATCTGTTTTTCCTTTCGAGGGTGAAAGCTGCCTTTTGCGTTTTATTGATCGAAACTGTGACTTCTCTGAGCTAAATACACTCGCAGGAACAGACCCTGACACCGCGGCGATGCTGCATTTGTTTTGGTCGCGTAGGTTTTTGAATGTCTGATGGTCTGTCTATTCCTTATTTAAATTATGGGGAGCAGATGTTAGGGCTTCCAGCGAACAAAAGCCTGGACGTACTGTAGCACAAGGTTTTGGGCTTTCTTTGTGACCCAGGCACACCAGCTTCTTTTCTAGCTCGGAAATGGATTTCAAACATGTTCCCCCCCCCCCCAAAAATCGTTCTTTGTTGGAGCGCTCGTATCGTTCACAATAGCTCAGGATAAGCCGCGCGCCTTTGCCATGGGCAGCCAGCTGAAAGGTGCCGAAAAATTCTCCCCAATAGTGTTTAGTGATTAAAAAGAAATTATGAACGACTCTTTGTCATTTAAATAGATTCGGCCCCATTTCATGTTTTGTTCGAGTTCCTCACCCCCAAAATGATTTTAATTTATTTTTATTTTTAAACCAGATATGGGAAAAGCGGGTATTTTATTTTCAAGTCTTAAATACCTGCCTGGAGCGTACTTTGCTATTTGAAGAGGCATCTAATCCAGTAAAGCCAACTTGGGGTTTTTTGGGAACTCACGGAAGCATTTGGAGTATTTTTAATCCCTGCAGCAGATAGGGGCTCTGCTGGCTGGGTTACACTTCAGACGTGATCCAAGCTGTATGAATTCAAACACGGCATAATTCTGTCTTAAAATCAGAATTAAACAGCTGCAGCGTTAAAGTGCACGGTTTTGGTGCTGAATATTACATTTCAGAGTTTTTCTTCTCGGCTGATTATCCCATCCTAGGAAGGCACCGGTCTGTGATGGGCTTCAAGCCCCCTGGGCCAGGGAAAGTGTGTTTCTTCCCGCTCTCACGGAAGATGCTTGCACAGGGGGACCCAATTCTGTGTTTCTGGCCTGTGGCGGGGAACGTGTTTGTAGCGGCGTCGTAACGCGGAGTGCCATGTTTTATTGTTCCTTGTCGGAGCCGGCAGCAGCCCGCGGTCCTTCCCTTAACGTGCTGCACTCGGTTAATCCAGCGGGTACCTTTTGGTTCGGCCATAAAACTCGGCGAGCGGCGTGGCCGAAGAGCACGCTTGCTCTTTGTCGCTGGGTTTGTTGACATTCTTACGTCGCCGAGTCTCGTTCCTCGGACCCCCGCTGGCTTTTGTCTTCTGTTTCCATTCACTTCCCTCTCCGCCCGAACGTGCGAGGCTGCCCGGGGTCTGGAGAAGGCGCTCTCCGGGGAGGGTGCTGTGAGAGCAGCCGAACCAACAGCCACGTCCTTCTCTGTTGGGGGATGCGTGGGGGGGGGCTGGTATCCCCACGGGGGCTGGCAAACTGAAAAATGGGGTGAAAAATCTGCTTGGTGCTACCCAGGGGGGGCGTGCGGTGTTTTGGTAGCGTTAAGAAGTAAAGGGTTTAAGTTAAAGGGTTTGAGGTTGCTTTAGGTGACCTGCTGTTAAAAAAAAATATGCTCCTGCCTTCTCACCTGACGGAGCGATTTGTGCTGCCAGCTCGAGCAGACCCTTCTGGCTGAAGAAAACACCGGGAGTCAGGATTTAGCACGAGTTACGGGATAAATATTTGCGAGTGTAACACAGGGGGTGGGATCCTCTGGGGAAAACTGAGACGTGGACGAGGAGGGGCGCAGGTCCAGCGCCCAACGGCCTGCTTCCCGGCGCTCCCCTGGGTACTTCACGCGTACGAGCTGCTCGTTTGTGGCCCCGAAGCGGCAGGTTTTGGGTCCGGCCGCGTGTGCTCTGCACCCACAGACGCGTCCGGCGTGCTGCCCTCGCTCCCGCGGGGGTTCTCGCGCGTTACTTGCTCCGTGCAGGAAAATCTGGGCAGGAAAGCAGGTCTTGGCGAAGCGTGTATCACTTCTTTTGGTACCAGTGATCCTGTACAGTTCATTACAGAACTGCAGATCTTTAATTAATGAGATGTAAATATATTGTAATGATTGCATTTGCATACCGAGTGAGGCTTCAGCACCTTAGGTTGTGATGTGTTTTAATTAAAGATTAATTAGAAATGATGGGAATTTCATTTTGCTTAGTATAATTATTTTACATATTTGATGAATATCTGGTAGGTGACGTGCCGGAGAACGCACAACGGGGTGTTAGCACAGCTGACGGGAGCGACTCCCCAGGCTCTTTCAGCCAGGGTAGGGTTTTTCTTCAACATCCATAAAAGTGATGGATTATGAAGGGTTTAAGTGTGAAGGATTTTACTTTCTAAATCACGCTTAAAAGGACGGGCTGTGCCGTGACTGGTTATGCCATAACTCCAGTCTCTTGGTGCCAAAGCCTTCGGTGTTCCTAGAGTTGTTTGTAAATTATCGTGGGAACTGCAAAAATTTGACAGCCAGAAGGCTACCGAGGGGATCAGCTTCCCAGTGCCGCGTTCTCTGCTGAGTGTTGTGGGCCGGTAGGTGATAAGCAGCGTTTAAGGACAGGCCCGTGTGCCGGGTCGGGGCTGACCGAGATGCTTTTTTAGCTCTCCCGTTGCGCCATCTTTTGAGATTCTCAGCTCCGGGAGGATGGTGGGTGAACAACTGTGGTCTTGTGCTTGGCGGCTGGAACTGGCTGCTACTTGCAGCAAGCCGAGTCACAACCTCACTGAAGCGGTAGTTTTGAGTGAGCCTGTACAAATATTATCATGAAACTTACGATCTGTGCAAATATTATCGTTAGGGGAAGATACCAGGAGTAAAACCAAAGTTCAGAGCTGTCCCTTCCGGGAGAGGGTGGCTTTAATTTAAAAACGACACCTGGGGCAGTGATTTCTGTAGAACTTGTGTTTCAGCCGTGGGTGTGTGAGGATGCAGCTACGCCAAAAGTTTACAAACACCCTGAGGGAGGGGGTGGAACAGACCGAGCTTCTTGCACTCATCGATTCTCACGTTTGAGAGCGTTTGTTCGATAAAAGGTTGAACTCCTGGGTTGGAAACGCAGCTTACGGGATGTTGGTGTCTGGTTTCTTGTGACTTGCTAGAGCCACCAGAGTCCTCCCTCCAGAGCGGGGAGGTGCTTTGTGCAGGCTTTTCAGCAGTCAACTTGAGGCGAGCTTATGTGTAATTGATGATAACTAATGTCTAATTACCATAATTAGACAAGTGACATAAAATTAAGCTGCAGCTGGGAGCTTGACTTCAACATGAGGTACTCTGATATGCATCATAATAAGATGCATAAAAAGGCGTTTGGCAGAAGCACTTTCAAAAAAGGTGACACCAAAATATCGGTTCCACGGAATTTACGCTTGCCAAAGTAGTTTAATGTGAGTTTTATCGAAAAGACTAAAAGCAAGTGGCCACTGGTGAACCCTCTGCGGGGTCTCGCGTTAAAAAAGGAGAACTGGCAATTTTTAAAACTAAAAAAAACCCCAACAACAAATAAACCCCCCCTTTTTTCTGTGTTTGTTTCATTCCTTGTAACGTTCACTCAGTGAAGGGTGTGTGCAGCGGATAGTCTGCTATTTTTGTTTTTTAAAAGTATTAAAATTAATTCCATAACGAGTTCGAAAAGCCATGAACTTTTACAGTAGTCAACACTTTCCTCATTGTCTCAGCTCGAGTTCAGCACTTACCCCGGTAGTACGTTACGGCTGGTTTCACCTTTCTTTTTTCCTCTTGCAAAAAGACCAGGGACGTTCTGGAGGAGACTGGATCGCTGTGACGGGGCGAACTCGGGCCCGCGGCCGCTCCAAAGCTCTCTTCTCCTCAGACCCGCGTAGCCATTTCCCTCCAGCCTGCAAAAATACAAAGTTCAGCAACGTGACTGTAGGTTTAGGCCGCTGGAGGGTTCAAAGGTGCGACTGGGTGGTTGTAGATGAGCTGTTCTTTTGCCTGCAAAATGCTGGAAATTATTATAAACGTGTCTGTTTCATGTCTCTGTACGTACACGTCGTTCTCCTGCCCTCGCGCTGGCACCGCTGCCTAACAAGGGATCTGCTGTGCCTGTCTCCGGTGGGGAACACAACATCCCGTTAACCTGCCAGTTTGGAAAAGGCCGTTTGAATTTGGCGCCTTCGCCAGGTTAAGGCCAAGTGTTCCTCAGGCTAAAGTTGTTTAGCAATTAAAACCGAAAAAGCTGTTGGCATTTTTTGGTAATGACTCGGTATCTCCTGAGTTCTTGTGCTTTTTACAAAAGGAAGTTCATTGTGAATGGTCAAAAAAAATTGGGAAATTAAGTGTTTCAAAGAAATCTGCTTGGGATTAAACTTGAATAATCAGCACACGGACTGCTGCAGCCTGCGTTTGTTGAGTATAAGCTTAAGGAAACTGGCTTCTGGTGCATTTTCTACTGTTGTTTCAGATTTTGATCGATTTGAGATGGGAGTTTGATCGATTTGAGATGGAGTTTGATCGATTTGAGATGGAGTTTGATTGATTTAAAATTCAGCACTGTTTATTTAGACTTCCATTGGTAGCCTGTTGCTGTCCCAGCAGCTCGGGCCTTCGTGTGCCGGGCGTCGCTGAGGACCACGCGAGGAGCCCGGCAGCAGGCTCGTACGGCGGCACCTGCTCCGTAAGAACCTCGCCCTGGTCTCTGCAGACTGCTGAAGTACTCCCTGAGCGCAGCACCGGCTGGCGTGGCCCCCAGGAGCCTCGTTACCCGCGGGTGTTTGGAAACTCGCCTCGCGTTCTGGTGTTTCTCGATCTGTTCCTTTCGCTGTGTCACCTCGCGGCTTCCTTAAGCGCTCCCTTATTTTTTGGTTTTTTTCCTTGAGCTCGAGACCTGCTGAAACCTCTGAAGGGCGTTTAAGTGCTTTGCCAGAATTGAAGTGGATGCTCTCTCCTGTTTCGGAACTAATCTTTTGCTTCCCTCTCTGTGTCTGTCTAGTGTTAAGTATTCGCGGTATTCAGGAAGAAGATCCCCCAGATGCTCAGCTAATGAGACTAGATAACATGTTGCTGGCAGAGGGTGTCTCCGGGCCCGAGAAAAGAGGAAGAGGAGGACCGATGGCTGTAGCAGCAACATCAGGTGGCTGTCCAAATGACAATAGCATTGAACACTCTGACTACAGGGCCAAGCTGTCACAGATCCGACAGATATACCACTCTGAGCTAGAGAAATATGAACAGGTGATCTTTCTGCATGGAAGAGTTTTTATCATCTCAATTAAAAATAACCGTTTTTTCCTTTGGTGTTGGTGTTAAGAACAGAACAGGAAGTATAATGAATTCAGGTGAACGCGAGGATATCAAGTTCAGCTGAAAACTTATCTCAGTGTTACAGGAGTAAGGTGAAGATAGAGGGACCGGACATCAAACTACAGATAATTAATGTCTCGTTTATCTTTGTTGCCGTTTGTTAAGAGTAAATAGAGTAAAGCTGAAAGATGGGAACTCCTCTAAAGTTTTTTGGATATATATTCTTGTTGGGGAAACGAAACCTGGGGTATTTTATGGTTTGTCGATACAAATGTGTGTGTTTTCAGGCCTGCAGCGAGTTCACCACCCACGTCATGAACCTGCTTAGGGAACAGAGCAGGACGAGACCCATTTCGCCGAAAGAGATCGAGCGCATGGTGAACATAATCCACGGCAAATTCAGCACCATCCAGATGCAGCTGAAGCAGAGCACGTGCGAGGCAGTGATGATCCTGCGTTCACGCTTTCTCGATGCAAGGTACGAGCACACACAGCGGTCGCATCAGGAGTCCCAGGTCTGTCGATCTGGTTCAAAGATGAAGATGCGCCACCCGTTTTGCTCGCGAGGGTTTACTTTGCCACCAACGCCCGTTTAATTCCACTCAATTCTTACATTCGCCTTCAAACCAAATGTGTTTTAGGGGGAGGAAGGCCAGCGGCGTGCTCTAGCCAGGCTGCTCTGTAACACTCTTTAAATGGGAATAACTAATATTTTTACAGGCGTAAACGACGTAATTTCAGCAAACAGGCGACAGAAGTACTGAACGAATATTTTTATTCGCATCTGAGTAACCCTTACCCCAGCGAAGAGGCCAAAGAAGAGCTGGCAAAGAAAGGTGGCATCACAGTTTCGCAGGTACGAAGCGTTTTATCGGGAATTAAGTGACTTGTTTTTCCTTGAACAATGTTTTGGTTGGGTTTTTTTCCTCGTAGTTGGCAACCGGCTTCTGGTACTTTCAGGAGGATTTAGGTTACTCTGAAGGGTCTAGTAGTAGGTATTTCCTGCTTAAAGCCTAGTTTAAAATGTCTCCTTTGCTGGCAACTTAGAAACAGAGTGGAAAATGCACCGGTTTGATCAAATGCTAACAGCGATACGTGTCTCCAGGTTTCCAACTGGTTTGGTAACAAAAGAATTCGCTACAAAAAAAACATGGGCAAGTTCCAAGAAGAAGCCAATATTTATGCCGCAAAAACAGCAGTGGATGCAACTAACGTCGTGGCTCAAGGCAACCAGGCAAATTCTCCGTCTACACCAAATTCAGGTGCGTGAGAGCGCCGGCAAAGAGTGGAAGTCTCTAATTATTTCTCACGACAATTAGTACCACAGTGTTGGAAACGGTCGTAGGATTTCTGTTAAACTTAAACAGTGTCATACTCGTCGAAGAACCATTTTTGCTGGTTTTGTTTCTCATTCAGGCATTTCTTTTTTTTTTCAGCTTCCTCTGGCTCTTTCAAGATGACAAATTCTGGAGATTCGTTCATAAACTTGCAGTCACTGACTTCCTACCAGAGCTCCCCGGTGGGAGCCAATGTGCAGTCGCAGGTCAGTAGGGGAAAAAAAAAACAAAACCAAAACGTCCTTTTAGCAGGAGGGCAGCGGGGCGAGCCCATCCCTCCGTCCTTGACACGGTGGGAGCAGGATGCCCGGGGAGGCTGCGGGTCTCCGTCCTGGGAGGCGTTCGAAACCCAACCTGCTCTCGCTGACCCCGCTTCGAGCCGCAGGGCGGGCTTAGATGGTCTCGGTTTATTTTTTTAAAGGAGGTTCTCTTGATGCCAGACAGGGAGGGGTTTTGCTGGTTCTGGCCAGGGCGTGAGAAATGGCTAGGGTCAAATTTCTCAAACGAGTCAAGAAACAAACCTGCTCAAACGTGGATTTTCTCTTCAAACTGGAATTTTCTCCTACAGAATTAACTGATACGTGAAGTCACTTACTGCTATTCTTCTGTCCCTTTATGTCTACATTAACAAATCCGTGTTTTCTCATTTTAGAGCCAGTCTTGTTCCATAGAAGTAGAATTTTGCTTAGGATTTGCAGCTAACGGCATTGTCAAACTCATTTTAAGCTTTCTGCTGAATTTCTGAACACACCTGAACTGCCTCAGATCTGTTCCTCTGTCATAAAAGCTACAGGAATAGACTCTAATTCTGCTCGAGAAGGAATGCGCTACGTGTAGCCCCGTTCATAGCAAAGAAAACTTGTCTTCCTGCAAGAAACCCTGCCCCTTATTTAAAGGATTTCTGTCCCAGTAGATAACGTAGCGCGTACTACTGCATTTCCCCAACCCAGCTCTTTATCCTCACCGTTCTCCTTCTGCGGCGTCTTGTTCCAGATGGATTCCTTACATCATGTCATACACCAGACAGGAAGATACGACACGATTGTGGGGAACCCTTTGTATACGACGCAGCGCATTGATGTAAGATGTACTGAGGTATTAGCGGAAACGCAAATTCTGCCCGAGATTGGCTCATGATCTGTGAATAAACGTTGGCTTTTTATTTCCCATGCGGGGACAGGAAAAAGCTGGAAAAAATGTAGTTTAATACACCAGCTTTTCCCTCCCGGGGGCTTGATCTGAAGTTTTGCCTTTGCTCACCAGAAAATATGTGCGCTTCGGTTAATTCTTGGCGTAAGGAGATAGCGCTGGGAGCAAGACTAACACCATAACAGCTGGGGGAGGAGAGGTTTTGGGGGATATTTGTGCTTTGCCAGGGCCGATACGTGCTTATTTCCCTTCAAAAGCGCGGTCGCGCGTCGGGTGTGGACACACAAAGACGTACCTCGTTGTAATGAGAGGATGCGTTTGTTCTCCCCTCAGGCTAATGGCAGCTGGCAGGATGCTACCACCCCTTCATCAATCACTTCACCTGCTGGAGACCCTGGAAGTGTTAATTCGGATGCGTCTAATTAAGTTTTTAGGACCTATCGATGAGAGGAAAGAGGTCATTAGTGTAATTTGTCAATGTTGCTCTTTTGCCAATACTATTGTTTATACAACTTGACACACAGCTAATTACCTCAGAAAACCCCCCCGGAACCAATAGACGATTGTGATCACAGCGATACCTCTCTACCTCTCAGCCTCGCGCCGTTGAGTTCTTTTTACTTATGCCCATTGGGATGTGACGTTGTTTTAAAAGAACTTGCTTCATTTTCCGAACCAAATTCATTTTTTTAAATATGGATTTTATGGTGAGAATCTGAAAGTGTCTCTTCTAGCACTTGGCGTTTGTCTCAAGTTTTACAGCTTAAGAAAATTGACTTATTTTAATTTCCATGAAGTTTTTTACTATGAAATTTCTGTTCTAGTTGATAGCTACTAACAGTTAACCCCCCTGTATTGTAATTGTATGCGTTCTCTGTATTGTAATTTTGTATAGGAAAATAAGCTTTTCTTAACTAGAATTCATTCTGAGCTAATTAATCAGAACGTTGCTTTACCAAAACTCTCACTGGACTTTGCTCTCGGGTAGGACCTTCCATCCTGTGTCATTCCACGTAATTCTAATTTAATGTCTAGTGAAAAAACGAACGAACGAACCAACCAACCCACCAGAAACCACCTGCTTTCCCGACGGAGGACAGGTTTTTGTGCATTTCTGCAGCTGTTACCACAGAGTCCACCCCTTTCAGTTGAGATTTTATCAAAGATAATAAACTTCCAAAGCCTTTTTTTTTTTTTTTTCCGGCCTTTCCTCTCC